GCCTCCTGATTTCCAGGAGAGTGGTAAAAAACACATGGAAAATAAATAATAAAATTTTCCTGTTGTATCTGTAATTTTTAGCAGGCTTGTTCTTTACACTAGTGCTTCTCAAACTTTAATGAATAACCTGAGAATTTAAGACAGTGATTCTAGATTCAGCAAGTCTGGGGTGGTACCCAAGATTCTCCATTTCTAACAACTTCCAAAGTGAAGTTACCATTGCTTCTCCTGGTCCATGGCCCATACTTTGAGTAACACAGTTTTATAAAATCAGTTACATAAACAGCAGCTGAGAGTAAAAAAAAAAACCCACTCTAAATAATTAAATGGCAATTGCTTCAGAATGTGATGGGATTTGATATAATTTGAAATGTGCTGTTCTGAACACTGAATATGACAAGTGCTGTAAAGACTGAACTCAATGTATTACCTATTGACATATAATAAAATTATTGGCTTAAAACAGTATCAAACATTTATAGTGCTCATGAATCTGAAATTTGGGCAGAGCTTTGCAGCAATAGCTTGTCTCTGTTGTACATGGCATCTACAGGGACAGCTAGCTCAACTGGAGATTAGAATAGCCACTTACAAGATGATTTACTCTTAGGACTGACAAGTTGATGCTAGATTCCAGCTGGAAGCACAGCCAGCGTTGTGGGGCAACTGTCTTTGGGTTGCCATTTCCTTCTCCAGATCTTCCTGACCCAGGAATCAAACTCACATCTTCTGCATTGGCAGGTGGACTCTTTACCACTGGGCAACCAGGGAAGCACTCTTTGGAAGATACAATCTGCCATACTCATCAACTCAAAGTCCTTTTTAAACAAATGATAAGTTAAGATAAATTTTTCTAATTCTATTCCATCCCCATTCCCATTTATATGTAATTCAGGGAAGAAGAAAAGAAATCAAATATTGGGAAAAAATGAGAAGAATGTTAAAGAATGAAAGATTATCTGATGGAAATAGAAAAAAAAAAAAAAACCAGGAAGAAATTAGGTAGAAAAGTGAAGACAGAAATATAAAAAGGAAGTAAGACGCAAGCAGACAAACTTGTGCTTGCATACAAAAACAAAGGAAAATATCACTTATTTACTTCCTACTCTTACTCTACTACCTGTAAAACAGTGGAATGGGTACTAATCTGATTGGCTGGGGAGCTTACATTGTAACTTGCTGCCATTGTCTGATAGGAAGGAAGAAAGATTGGAGCGCAGTACTAGACAATAATAAATGAATTGAACTATTTTTCTCTTTTGCACATTTATTACAGTAGCAGAGTGAATTCAAACATAAAATCCAGGGCTTTCTCATTTATGGCAAGATCACATTATTGGTGAGGCATGGGAGCAGGGATTGGGAAGGTGCAACCATACTATCTGGACCACTTATTACGTTTGCCAGAGTACCTTTGCACTCTACAACTGGAAGTCTGATTCCAGTGAAAAACATACCAAAGGGCTATTCTTTGATGGTATTTATGTAACTTAATATCATCATGACAATCAAATCTACCAGTTCACAGTGGAAAATCCTAGTTACCTTGGCCTTGACACAGAGAAACAAAATGTACCTCTGTTTATACAGAGCCCTGAAAATTGACTCCCCACATTGCTTCATTTGGTCTTCATAGTGTCATGCTGAGTGTGAGCTCTGTGGCAGCTTAAAGTGATGTCAGAAAGTCATGTTGCACTCAGTGGTTGGTGCTGAAGGCAAGATCCCTGTAGTGAAACCAAAGAGTTGCCACCCTGGAGCCGAATTTCAAAGACTTGAAAGGAGTATTTCTACCACAAAATTCACACCAATTCCCTTTCAAACAAAACTCCTGAGCATGCCAATGTATCAGAAACCCACCACCTTTTAACTCTTGCTCTATGAAGACTTCCTTGATGAAGCACTGGTACATGAGCTGTTCCATTTATGCTACTGAGATGGGTTCCTGGAAGGAAAATGAGAATGATCTATATTTTTCTTGATTTTTGCCCAAGCATGTCTGTTCTGTAGGCGTCCTGGAGTCCTTCCCAGAAGGCAAATCTCAAAATCTTCAATGCCAATCATGAATAAGAGTTTCACTTAAAAGAATGAAACTTGTTCAGTGTTGTATGAATGGAAAGTGCCAGATAAAAGGAACAATTGCTGTCACCAACACTGAAGTCCTGAGAAAAAGGACCCCCTCATTCACCCTTCCCTGCCCATTCCTAAGGCAGTGAGGGAATCTACTAGAGAGAAGGTCAAGTCAAGACTGAGTTGACCGCTTAGATGTGTGACTTTGGGCATGTCAGTTAATTTCTCTATCTGTTGCTCCTACATAGAATTAGAGTTGTCATCCCTCTTTATCTTCCTTTGAACTTTGCTAAAGGAAGGCATTACAAAAATGCAGAAGAAAATTCTTCCAGCAACAGCTGCTCTATGAGAATACACCATGTAGAAAGTTTAGAAATATGGCCTTTCCAGCTACATTCATGCATTATCATGGCAGTGTTCTCATCAGACACAGTACCATCAAATGTTAAAGAAAATAAAGAGGATACTCAACATGGAACCACAATGCTTAAAATGAGCAGTTAAGATCCTGAGTTCTTTAATATGATTCTGCTTAATTCTATTTGCAAATTCTCTGTTGTTACATGTCAGACATGCCAGACCTTGACAATGCATATTTTCTTAGTCACCTAATCCAAAAGAAGAAGAACTGGGAGCTTCAGTTTTAGGGCATGTTCAACACAGTTATGTCACATAACAATACATTCATGCACCATAAACATGAGCAATCTTGGATACGGTACTTAAACTCCCTAAATCTCTGTATTAATTTGCTAGGGTTTACATAACAAAATACCATTGTTTAGATGGCTTAGATCTTGTGCTCAGTCATGTCCAACTCTTTGTGACCCTCTGGACGGTAGCCTGCCAGGTTCCTATCCATGGGATTTCCCAAGCAAGAATACTGGAGTGGGTTGCCATTTCCTTCTCCAGTGAATCTTCCCAACCCAGGGGTCAAACCTGTATCTCTCGTGTCTCCTGCATTATCAGGCAGATTCTTTACCATGGAGCCACCTGGGAAGTCCTTGAATGGCTTCAACAACATAAATTAATTTTCCCATAATTCTGGAGGCTAGAAATACAAGATCAACTTGTTGGCAGGTTTGGTTTGTCCTAAAGACTCTTCTTGGCTTGCAGATGGCTACCTTCTTGCTGTGTCTTCACGTGGCCTTTTCTCTGTGTCTCCCTAGTGTCTCTCCCTCTTCTTATAAGAACATCCATCAGATTGGATTAGACACCCTGTAATGGCCTCATTTTTACCTAATCACCTCCTTAAAGAGGAGGTGACTCCAAATAGAGTCATATTATGAGATTATGAACTTGAGAAGGATACAATTCAATCCACAACAGTCTCTGTAAAAATGGGCATCATGAGGATTTATTTAAGATACAGATGGGAACATGAATTAGAAAATGCATTATAAATTATGTCATGATAATACTGTATCATTGAATATCATAATTTTTGTCATCATAATTATTATTCTCTATGACATATTGGGGGAAGAGGGCATGGCACCCCATTCCATTCTCACCTAGAGAATCCCATGGATAGAGGAGCCTGGTGGGCCACAGTACATAGCATCACAGAGTTGAACATGACTGAAGTGAATTAGTATGCACGCACACATGACATATGTCAGTCTCATGAGAAATCTAAACTTTCCACCTTTGAAACAACTGTAGCATAGCAGGTAAGAGAACATACTCCAGAAATAGTTGATGGCAAGATCCAGATTCTGGATCTACTACGTGTTAGCTGTATGATCTTTAGAAATTATCTAAGTTTCAATTTCCCTATTTATAAATTAGGGATGTAAAAACATTACCCACCTTTTTAGAGTTGTTGAGGGGATTAAAAGAGAGCACTAAAATGACTGGCTACCAGTACATGCTCAACAAATGATGGCTGCTGTTGATAGCCATACTTAGACCTTGCTACTGCTGCCTTTCTCAGCCAGCAGAGCTCTCTATCATAGTCAGACTAGGACTAGCTTCCCCATGACAGTCCACACTGCAGCTGCCAAACATATCCACTGCCAGCGGAGAGGGTAGTGAAACAGTTCCCACCCTTTCTGAAGGAAGGAAAAGAAATCAAAAACAAGAAAGTAGGGAATAGTTAGGATTCCATGAAAGTGAAAGTGAAGTTGCTCAGTTGTGTCTGACTCTTTGCAATCCCATGGACTGCAGCCTACTAGGCTCCTCCGTCTATGGGATTTTCCAGGCAAGTATACTGGAGTGGGTTGCCATTTCCTTCTCCAGGAGATCTTCCCAACCCAGGGATTAAACCCAGGTCTCCTGCATTGTAGGCAGATGCTTTACCATCTGAGCCACCAGGGAAGTTTGATTAAACATTATATGAACAGGTGACCATGAATTAAGATTGCCTAAATTTTAGCACTGCTTCAGAAACTGATTTTCACTGACTTTCCTTCATTGCATCTCCCTTTAATCAGTTCTAAATTTGGGTTTTTTCTTTAAAAAAATTACTCACATATACCTCAGAGGAGCCATAAGAATGAATTGGCAAATGTTATTATAAAGTTCTCTGAAAACTAGTGCCTCTAAATAAACATTTAAAATTTCTCATAGTATTAAGCTTATTTCATCTTTATCACCAGTTACATGCCTTGGTTTTGCTTCCCCTATAATATATTTCCTTTAGCCTTCTTTTCCAAGACAAGCTTACACCTCCAAGTTCAATTATTCTGTCAGTTGTGTTTTAAATTGTACTGATTTCTATTAACCACTTGTGGTATCAATTTGTTGATCTGCTCATTCTTCTGAACCAATCATCTTTACACCCACCAAAAGCTGGAATGACAATTAAACTGAGGAAGGTGAGAATTATTCAAGAGAAATTAAAGCCATAGAAGTAAACACAGTGGGAAACTGAGATTCAAAAGAGCATTGAGGGAAAAATACACATGTACTAAAAGCATAGCACAAAGCACATAGAGGCACAGAGGGGAAAGAGAAAAGCAAGGGAGAAAACGGAGTCTGCTTCTGCCTGCTACACTTCTCTTTCAGCACCAAGGACAGAGCTTCTGAAGGGCTGACCCAAGTGATACTCAGTTTAGGGTCCCTCCCAAATCCTCTAGAGAAAATGGTGCATTCGAAAGCAGTCATGAAACATGCAGTAAGGTCTAATAGGGAAGCTGGAAGAGCAGCACACAAATGATTTCACCTTAGAGGCAATTTCCACAGTTTCTGTGTCCCGAGAAAGGCAAAGTTTGCTTTGCTTGGGCATGTCTGCTGTTCGTAAATGGTTATAGGAGCTGAAGTGCTAAACCCCACAGCCTCCAGAAATCAGAAGAAATTATCAGGGTAAGTAATTTTATTTCATTTCTAATTTAATACACAGTGTTTTCCTAAGAGGTTATTTAAGCAGCTTGGGGTTCTGTGGTTCTCTGAGACTACGCATTACAACTCTGTACCCTCTCTTAAAAACCTGAACCCCTGGAGAAACTGTTTTCATCTTCTCCTCATTTTTTGGACAGTAGAAACATATTTTCTTTCTCCTTTTCCCCCCAAAATTAGATCTTCATAGGCTCTAGAAACTATATCAAGGCAGAATTTTAAAATGAAAAATAAAAAGCTGTTACTATTCCTGAGATTTGTATGGAAGTTGATTATTTTCCTCTTAAGGGTTTTACTTAATTGAAAGGGTCTGTTATTTTAAACTCCCCAATTCAGCACCCTGGTAATCCAGAGCTGAGGGTTTGGAGAGGCACAGTTTCAATAGGCACTGTTTCTATTTTAAGTTAGGCTGCTTCCAAGTCAGAATCCAATTATTCACAACAGAGATATGCAGTACTTGAGATGATGATTGTGTATATTTTCTGTAATGATGGCAGATGATTTTGAGGATATTGTTGTTTAATTGTGGGACTTTCATTACTTACTCTAGCTTATTGGGTCAATGGAAGTTGTTGCAATTAGGCATTTGTTCCAGTTCATGCCTTCGGTTTAATCAAATACTGTCAAAATGAATGCACAAATAATAACGCAGCAATAGCAAAGTGAAACTTTGAATCTAGACACATTATGCATCCTGCTTGAACTTTATAGGTGAAGCCGTTTGCTTACTGACACCAAAAGGTCAGTAAAATGCCTGTCCTTAGGTAAGAGTGAAGAATTGCTGCTTGATACAGCATTGGATTTCTCCTAGCAAAACAGAAGCAGGTACAATAAGAGAAAGATTCTTACTCAGATACTGTTTATAGTTGAACATTTTCAAGGGTCTGCTTGGCTAGCAGTGTGCAGAGCTGTTGATCAGCGTAACTACTGACAGCATCCAAGGGCATACCTGATATTAATGAATCTATACAGAAGGCTGCTTATTATGGGATGTGAATTAAAACAAATATCAAGTAGATTTTACCCAATACTAAATTCAATTTCTAATATGTTGGAGTTGTCATCAATCAATATTTGCTTATTGACCAACTAATCCATTGAGTTCCCCATTTTACCTCTGACTAGAATGGTAGGATATTCAGATATCAGAATTTGTGATAGAAAGTGGGGATTCTCTGCTTTACTGGGCAAGTTTAATGAAGAAAAAACTATATTACCTTAGCTACTGAATCTCAATAACCAGCTATGATTTTTCTCTGTATATTTGCCAACAATGTAAATGTGCCCAAATATATAAATAAGCTATGGATTTCAATTCACTTATGACTCGTCAGTAGAAAAATTAATTAGACACAATTTTCAAGAATAAAGTGCCATAGAAATGCTAAAGACTACCTCTAATAATAATGACAATGTAACTCCCACTGTTTCTATGTGCAGTGTGCACCTGCATTGACTTCGCTGAGCTTGGTCAGGTCATGTGCACAAGATACTCTGAAAAAGTGAGATTTTAAAATTAGCCCCCATTTCTGGTTTGTCTCTCTCACCTGAATAATGAGGAAGTTAAGAACATGGGGCTCTGGAAACAGACAGCTCTTGGGTTGAATCAGCTCCATAATTACTGGTGTATGACCTCAGTGAGAACCTTTCTGTTACTTACTTTCTCCATCTGCAAAAATGGGGATAATAATAGCATATATTTCTTTCATCAAGTTGTTGTGAGGTTTAAATAAAATAATGCTTATAAATGTTAGTTAAAATTATTAATTTTTTCAGGCAATATAGCAAGTCTGAACTGAAGTCCCAAGCCAGAAAAGCCTTGGAGACTAGATCAGGATATAACTGAGTGAAAGTTCAAAGATGGCAAAAGACAGGGATCTGTGATACAAGTAATTGGTCTTGCAACTCTGTTGTCACCTGGAAATGATTGCCCATAGTGACTTCCACCCCCAGCATGAAAGAAAGTGAAAGTGAAGTCGCTCAATCATGTCCGACTCTTTGCGACCCCATGGATGGTAGCCTATCAGTCTCCTCCATCCATGGGATTTTCTAGGCAAGAACTCTGGAGTGGGTTGCCATTACCTTCTCCAGGAGATCTTCCCAACCCATGAATTGAACCCGGGTCCCCTGAATTATAGGGAGACCGCTTTACCATCTGAGCCACCAGGGGAGTCAGCCTAGATACATTAAATAAGTCACAAATTTTGGATTTAGGAAGACACAAGACTAAAGTTGGGCTCAATTCAGACCCCTATACTGTGTAATCCTGGGAAAGTTACTGAAATTCTGTCTCAGTTTCTTAATCTGTAAAAAGAAGATATCAATATCCATTTTCAGGGTCACTATAAATAATAAAATGAGGTAATATCTGTAAAGTAATTGTGCCTAGTACAGAGGAGCAGCCAGAAGTGGTAGTGACTCTTCAGAAGGAGGTTGAGAACTCAAGGTGTTTTTGTTTTTGTTGTGTTTTGCTTAACTCCACATCCTCAAAGAAAGAAAACAAATAATTAAAACCCTATAAATCTTAATGAGTAACTTCCTAACAAACTCCATGGGAGTCTGGTATGGAACCAGACACCCAAACAAGGCAACGTACAGATATACCAGGCAGACTGTGATTCCACGATGAGGGACTGAATATCATCAAGGCAGAATGCATGTCATAGCTCATGGGGGCCTGACCACACTCTGTCCCTCTGCTTTTTAAAGTAGATTAGACACTCACTCAAAGAGATGCTACAATAAACTCTAAAGACTGTATAAGAAATTAAAGGGCTCATTAAAATTTGTAAGTAGTGTGATATGTAATGATTCTTGAAAGAGTAAGACCAGCAGTAATCTCCTAGTCCTTACTGTCTCCACTTTCTTACCTCCATCCACTCTTAACTAACACCCTTCGCTGAGGTCATCAGCAATCTCCTAATTTCCAAGTCCATTAGACACTCTGCAATTGTAGTTTATTTGACTCCTTCACCTATTCCCACTTACCCTTAAACAATAAAAGCTACAATATTTTAAGTGAAATGTGCCAGACATGATGTTAGAGCCATGATTCTCAGTGGGGAGAGCAATTTTGCCCCACAAGGGACAGTGACAATGTCGGAGACTTGTTTCACTGTCACAGCTGGAGGAAGGGCCATGTTACTGGCTTCTAGTGGGTAGATATCAGGGATGTTGCTAAAAATCCTACAATATAGGAAACAGTACCTCTTCACCCCAACAAAGAACCTTCCAGCCCCAGTTGTCAATAGTGCCAAGACTTTGCACATATAATTTTATTTGATCATTACAATAACCCTATAGAGTGGGTATGATTGTCCTCATTTTGCTGATGAGGAAGTCAGGCTATTGTTATGAATTACTTAGAGAATCAAAGAATTGATGCTTTTGAACTGTGGTGTTGGAGAAGACACTTGAGAGTCCCTTGGGCTGCCAGGAGATCCAACCAGTCCCTCCTAAAGGAAATAGGTCCTGAATATCCATTGGAAAGACTGAAGCTGAAACTGAAACTCCAGCACTTTGGCCATCTGATGCGAATAACTGACTCATTGGAAAAGACCCTGATGCTGGGAAAGATTGAAGGCAGAAGAAGGGGACGACAGAGGATGAGATGGTTGGATGGAATCACCGACTCAATGAACATGAGTTTGAGTAACTCATGTTACTCAACATGAACATGAGGGAGTTGGCCATGGACAGGGAGGCCTGGCGTGCTGCAGTCCATGGGGTTTGCAAAGAATCAGACACAACTGAGTGACTGAACTGACTGACTTAGAGAGTGACTTTTTCCCCCAGCTGGGCTGAGTCTTCATTGCTGTGTGTGGGTTTTCTCTAGTTGCAGCAAGAGGGAGCTACCCTCTAGTTGCAGTGCATGGACCTCTCATTGCAGTGACTTCTCTTGTTGCAGAGCATGGGCTCTAGCATGTGTGGGCTTCAGTAGTTGCAGCATATAGCTTCGAGAGTATGGGCTCAGTAGTTCTGGCACCCAGGCTTAGTTGCCCCATAGTATGTGGAATCTTCCCTGATCAGGGATTGAACCCTTGTTCCCTACATTGACAAGCAGATTCCTAACCATTGGACCACCAGGGATGTCCACTTAGAGAGTGAATATTAAGTTCACAAATTCTCTAGGCTCTTTACTTCTCCTACCTGAGATCAGTTTACTTGACAGCATATCTATCAAAAGAAGAAAGAAAAGAGAAAACCCAGCCCCGTTCTGTGTTATATAAGCAGTGCTGGTTAAAAAAAAAAAAAAAAATTCTAAATAAAATCTAAGGAGGGAGGAAGTTGAAACAATTAGCTGAGAAATAGGGGGTAACCTAGCATCTCAGTCATTTTCTGCTTTCATCTCCCACACCCACAACCCATCAGGAACTGCCTGGGCAACCAAGGCTTACCCCACAGCTACGCTAAAGAATCTAAGACTAGAGATAGTGTAACGCAAAAAGTAAGTAAATCAGAAACTGCAATGGTGACTCCAGTATCAGGCTCAGAATTGATTTTCAGAGTCAAGGGTTTCCCTTCATATAATTAGTCACTGACACTCAGCTGTGCTATTTTTAAGTAGCTGCCAAACCTTAGCAGAGTAAAATGTCCAGCACAATGGTAACAAATATCCCAAGGTTTTATGCTTCCCTCCTACCCAAAAGATGAGATAAGGCCAAGACATCACTACCCAACTGCAGACCCCAGGAAAATGTGATTCCTGGCCACTGATTTCCAACATGGCCCAGATGCAGAAGCAAAAACGTTCCAGACCTGAGCCTGTCTCAAAGGTGAAAATACCCTTGAACAATCAGAAAGCTTTGTATTTTTCCAAAAGCTCTTGGCAGTAACAGTGCTATCTCCAGGGTAGTGGCTGCCCTTCTCCGAATAATGAGAAAATTATAATTATTATCAAAAATTATTATTATGCTTTAAAATATATTTAGTGCAAACAGTGTGCCAAGATAAAATATGTTGTGTTTTGTTTTTTTTTTTTAACAATCCTCTGAATTCATTCCAAACCACTCGCCCCTTACAATTATTTGTTCACTTTAATACTTTCACATTCCAGGCTGAAACATTCAAAATGAGAGACAAAATGACAGCCAGGAGTAAGCCAATCTCCAAATCAAAGGAGAGCTAGAGTTAGCAGAATTGAGAGCAAATCCTGGCCACCAAGCCAGGGCCTGGAGCAAGAATTCCCATGGGGGCCCATATACTCCATGTCTACATAGTTTAGTTATAACTAACAAACAGTATTGAAGGAAATGTTTACTCCTCCTGCCTTAATAAAGGTACCTTTTCAACAATCTGGAAGGCCAGGTTTGAATTTGGGATTCCCGGGCCTTAAGAGTGCCAAACAAAATGTGAGAAGGCAGGAGAAACTACCCCACTCCCCATCCTGTCCCAGGGACTCTGTCTTCTCTCCCCATCTCAGGTTACCTCCAAGCTGTTCAACCAAACTCCCCCAAACAGCTACCCCAGGAGCCCATGGGTCCCAAAAATATGCCACGGTCTTCCTTCAGGGTGACAAATCCAAAATGAGGCCCGTGCTGCCCTAGAAATAGGGTCCAAGCAGTCTGGGCAGAGAATCCTATGATCTTAATAATACCAAGAGTATGATCTAGAGGGCCTCCCTGGAGGTCCAGTGGTAAAGCATCCTACTGCCAATGCAGGAGACATGGGTTCAATCACTGGTCTGGGAAGATCCCACATACCACGAAGCAAGAAAGCCTGTGCACCACAACTATCCAGGCTGTGCTCTAGAGCTCAGGAGATGCAACTACTGAAGCCCACGTACCCTACAGCCCATTCTCTACAACAAGAGAAGCCAGTGCAACGAGAAGCCTGCACACCACAACTACAGAGTAGTTCTCGCTTGCCACAACTAGAAAAATGCTTGCACAGCAATGAAAATCCAACACAGCCATAAATTAATAAATTAATTAAATTACATACGTACACATACATATATATACACATATACACATAGATAGATAGATAGATAGATAGATAGATAGATAGATAGATAGATAGATAGATAAAGAGTATAGTCTAGAAAGGGAGTGTGGACTCTGGGTGGTTCTGCTCTTTGGTGCCATAGGAAGACACAACTTCATCCTCTGGGGAGGTTATGACCAGATGGGGTCAGAGTGAAGGCCTTGGAAGCACAGAGCCCCTGGGAAGCACTCTGCCCAGGTCTCAGGGTCATGCTATAGGCTACAAGATTTGTGCTTCCCCAGCATGTGGCATGTGGGATCTTCCCGGACCAAAGGCACTTCTACCCTTGGCACAAAGGCATTTCCCTCTTGCCTTCCATGGACACACACACACCTAGCTTTAAGGGCCCAGAATCCCTTCTGGCCCCAACAGATTGGTGTCATTGGCCAGCTGATGGGCTCTGTTGCCTTTCCCACTCTATGTCAAACATGTTGGCTTTTCCTAATGGGTAGTAATATGACAGCTACTATGGCTTTCAGATGCCAAAGAAGAGCATTGGAAGGCTTGCATGCAGGTTCCCTAAGAAGCTGATTGACTTAAGATATGTTACTAATCTCTCTATGCCTCAATTTCCCTGTTTGAAAAGTGAGGGCACTAAACTAGGTCAGAGATCAAAAACTGGTGACATATGGTTCATTGACCCATGGATGTGGGATTTTTTTTTGGGGGGGGGACGGGAGACTTCATAATGCTTAAATATTTTTTTAAAGTAGTAATGGGTCTTTAAAAATTAGGAAGTTTGAGGAATTCCCTATTTATCTAGTGGTTAGGGGGCTTCCCCAGTGGCTCAACAGTAAAGAACCAGCCTGCAATGCTGGAGCTACAGGAGACGCAGTTTCAATCCCTGGGTCAGGAAGATCCCCTGGAGGAAGGCATGGCAATCCACTTCAATATTCTTGCCTGGAGAATCCTATGGACAGAGGAGCCTGCTGGGCTGCAGTCCATATGGTCACAAAGAGTCTGACAGAAAGCAACTTAGCATACACGTACCAGTGGTTAGGACCTAGCATTTTCAGTGCCATGGCGTGGCTTCCCTTTCTGGTCTGGGGGCTAAGATCCCAGAAGCTGCACAGCACAGCCAAAAACATAAAATGAAATAATTAGGAGGTTTCAAATAAAATTCCACACATAGATTTTTCCTAAATATAAAAACCACTATGCTGCCTCTAAACCCCATTACTCTTCAGATTTTCTCCCATAATCCAGTCTCCAAAACCACCATGTCCTACTACCTAAGACCTAAGAGAAAGAATGGTAGACTGAAGGAAGTAAAGAGAGACAGAGGGAGGCAGGGGAGAAGGCAAATGCAGGCAATGGGAGGGCGGTGGAGCGGGAGGGGAACAAGGAAAGGGGAGTGGGAAGCCAAGAGAAAAGGACCAATCAGAGGAAAAGAGCTAACACATCACTTTCTAGGTGTTGGGCATGGCTGTCAATGTCTTACATATATTATAACTCATTTAATCTTCACAAAATCCCTATTTGTACGAGTTCCATTATTTCCCCATTTTACAGAGGAGGAAAATGAAGCACAGCAAGGTGAAGTGACATGCCCAAGTCACCAGAGTTAGGAAGTAGTAGAGTTGGGGTTGTAACCCTGCAGCGGTTAACCAGCTCACTCCAAGTCCAAGTGAGGTTCTTTCAAGGGCCGTGCATGCTAAGCCTCACACCCTTCCACTCTGCCCTGCCTCACCTGGCTCCAGGCACACTGGTCTCCCTGCAGCCCCTTCCGTCCACCAGCCGCTGCCTTCTGTACCTGCTGGTCCTCCTGCTTGGCTCTGTGTCGTCAGCTTCCTAAGGTTCCCCAAGTCATGACTCAGTTGTCACCATCTCCCTGAGGGCTTCCTGATTACTCAAGTTAAAAACTGCACTCAGACCCCCTCTTGGGTGTCTAGTGTGGCAAAGTCACAATGTCCATCTAGATATTGGTATAAAAGATGGACACTGTGACTTCCCCACACTAGCAGAGAATTGCACACACACACAATCCTCACCCTGTCCTCACCTCCTTCCCTAATTTATTATTCTTCAAAATACATATCATCATCGAACACATTGTTGTCGTTTTTTAGTCTCTAAGTTGTGTCCAACTCTTTTGTGACCCCATGAACTATAGCCTACCAGGCTCCTCTGTCTGTGGAATTCTCCAGGCAAGAATACTGGAGTGGGCTGCCATTTCCTTCTCCAGGGGATCTTCCCCACTCAGAGATGGAAACTGCATCCCCTGCATTGGCAAGAGCCACCACTTTGCCACCTGTGAAGACCTTCATCAAACATACTATGTGTTTTATTTATCTTACTACTGTCTTCTCCTCTGGAATGGAGACTTCACAAAGGCAGGAATTTTTATCCCTTTTCTCAGTGCTGTATATGCAGGGCTTGGAATAGTGTCTGGCATATAGAAAGTGCTCAATAAAATATTTGTTGAAGAAATAAATTGAAAAATGTACCCAAGCAAGTAAAACTCCAAAGAGTCTAACTTGACAAACATTGTTTATCTCCTCCCAGGAAACGCGTGGGGGTTACCCTGCTCCCTCCAGGCGATGGCACCTCTCAACCAGCTGGGGAGCCACATCAACTCGACCTGTGCAGCAGAGAACTCCACAGGGGCCGGCCGGGCCCGCCCACACGCCTACTATGCCCTCTCCTACTGCGCACTCATCCTGGCCATCATCTTTGGCAATGGTCTGGTGTGTGTAGCTGTGCTGAAGGAACGCGCCCTGCAGACCACCACCAACTATCTGGTGGTGAGCCTGGCCATAGCGGACCTGCTGGTGGCCACCCTGGTAATGCCCTGGGTGGTGTACCTGGAGGTGAGTAGGTCACAAATGCAAGCTGCCCATGTGACTCTGTTTGTCTTTGTCTTCCCTGACCATCTGATGCCTGGTCTCAGAATGCTCCCTGCCATGATCCAGGGTCTGGGGAAGGAAGGAGAGTTCCTGTTACTCTCCCTTTCATGAAGGTCCTGAGAGCAGCATTTATTCAGCATTACTTGCCCATGTCAGAAACAGGGAGCTGGGAGTGATTCTTCCCTGAGCCTCCAGCATCCAGGTGACTGGACTTGAGTAATGGGATTCATCCTAAAAAATGCACCAAATTTACTCTCCATGTCAGTTATGCTGCAAAGACATGGAGGGTTGGGGGAGGCAGTCCAATGGCCATCCTCATCAGTGTTTCAATATATTAATACATAGGGGTGAGGATGTGTGGCAAGGGCAGAGGAATTCTTTTTTAATGAAATCTTTTTTACTGAATGAGAGGAAACAGGAAAGGGGGATGGGAAGGTAAGAGAAACAGAGCAGAGAAAATGAGAAGAAAAAAAAAAGAGAGAAAGAACAGTCTGCCAATGGATCAGACTTCTGATGGCTCAGTTGCCCTTGGACTCGGCACTTTCCTCCTGGGTACCAGCTCTCCACACTCTGCTTCCACAGGAAAAGACCAAATTTTTATTTTCGATGCCTCCATTAATAGTACAGAGCCCTCACCAGTTAGATAATGCAGAAGACCCTGGAGAATTCTTCCAGAGAGAAACATTTCTTAAATTTGAAAGTATTTTCATTGGAAAGTGCAAAACAGAGTCAGGAGGTGATCAAGACAAAACAATCATTTGCTAACAAGGAAATCAGGGTTCCCACACCTGTTCAAGAAACAGATATTCCTACCAGGAAAACATGCAATTACTAAAGAGTTTTTAAAAAATACCTTAATATACTATTAATATTTCTCCTCTGCACTGTGTGTCATTCTAAAGAGGTATCCAATGAAGGCTCAAAATGATGCCATGATTAAGAGAAATTAAAATTCATCAAATTAATATCTCAGTTAATATTAATAGTGAAGATGACAGTTAATTAAGTATGACATATCACAGGAGAGCAAAAACCTCAAACACAGATTGCTTACCCGAGTAACCATATTAAAGAATGACTGGGAACTAAAATTAGACTTATGATCTCAATGGGGAGAGACAAAGGAACAAAATCAAGAAGACAGAAAAGGAAATTCAAGAATAAAAGCAACTAGGCTGACTGGGATAGATTTCAAGACTAAGGGAATACTCAGAGTAAAAAGTATGCATTTATTTTTCCATTAGGATGTTCCTGATGGTAAAGGGTCTTGTAATTACTTTGACTTTTCCATCAATCCAATTGCTGTGCTTAGTCACTCAGTCATGTCCAATTCTTTGTGACCCCATGGTCTGTAGCCACCGGGCTTCTTTGTCTATGGGGATTTTCCAGGCAAGAATACTGGAGTGGGTTGCCATGCCGTCCTAACCTAATTAGAAACATTCTTGAAGTCTGAAGCCATGTCTTTGTCCTTTTTTCCCCATAGTCCAAACATAGTACTTGGCACATAATATGTGCTAAATAAATATCTGATGTATGAATGGTTAAATGAGTCTGCTCTGCATGGTATGCATTAGATAGACCATTTCTGCTTATACCATCTGCAGATACATCTATTGTTACAATGAACTATTTACTTTTACTTTTTAATAATGATCCTGAAAAGGAGTTAGAAGTATATATTTCTGTTCAAGAGAGAGGAAGACTTTAGCGGCCATAACCCAGTGTGGATGGATTAGTCAACACTTCAGAATATCCCCACACCCCCCTCAAAAGTGTTTCTGTCTATCCCTATACACTATCAGGATTTCTTCAGTCTTTCAGAAGGATGAATGTCAGAAAAAAATGCAGGAAGAGAACCTTCCCTCTGATGAGCATCTGAAATAAAACTAGGCTTTTGGTGTCTGTGCACTTAGGGCCTCTTTGTCTGTCAATCTGTGATTGTTTCCAGGACTCTGGATGGATCATGGTTGGAGAATCTCTGTAGATACTGGTATAGGAGATGGACAGTGTGACTTTCCCACACTAGACACCCACTGCATCCCCTTCCAGCCCCAACTGCCAATATGGATGGTGCCCCCGCTACACTGCTGAGTAAAGAGGAGCACCTGAGTCTGCAGAAGGCCAGCATGATTTCTCTCCAAAGGTCTTAATGGACTCCCTGCAGGTTATATCTGTGGGTTTTCTCCACTAGAGAAGCTCTTGTTTCTCCTCATCAAAACCAATACACCAACAGGTTATTTACAACAGGCAGGCGTTCAGTGGTCAAGAGGATGGTCACATAAGCCTGAAATCAAACAAAAAATATTTGGAGGAGCAAAGACATCTCTCCACTGGGAAATAGGCTTTGTGACCTCTTTTTGGTCCTACCCATTTGCTTCAAGGCTCTAGTAAATGCAACTTAGTATCTCTGCATCACTTTCTCCAGCAGTCAACTGAGAGTCTATCTCAACAAAACACAAAATATGGCATGAAGTAACTATCATTAGCAGACAACCAACTAAGATAACAGAAGATTCTATTCCAGAGGATCAGGTCTCCCTACCCCACCCCAGTCTGTATATTTTCCTTAGTCTTAAATGCCATCTTCCTGTGGACTTCAGAAGCAGACTGGGTGGTTAAAGAGAAATAAGAGCACTTTGAGCTCCTAAAGGAATCATGAATATATAAATCATGTGTCTCAGGGAAGAACAAACTGTTACTCCCACTAACTTGTCTTAATGACAGTACAGTTTGGGTAGCTGGTCTAGTAATTACAAGATCATACCAAAGAGGAAAGAAGAGGAAAGGATATAGTGTTGACCATAGAGACTACTGTGGGCCTGAGGGTCCCCAGGGGGACAGGATGAATGTGAGAAGACACCATGAGAGTGCAAAATTAACTGTCAAATTCCCAGCTTCCTGTACTTTGATTTGAATGCATCAATACTGTTTGAAGGGAATATTGGCTCACATTGGCCAGAACTCCTCCTTCAAAGGAAAATTGGCTCATCATGCCAGACACCAGTTTGTTTGAGTTACAAATGTTTTGGCTGTAAATATCGGAAAATTTGATTCACTGTGGCTTAAACAAATAGGAGTTACTTTTCTTACATAACCAGAATTCCGGAGGAAGGGGTTGTGTGGGTATTGGGTCAGCTGCCTCAGGTGTCATCAAGGACCAGGCTCTCCCATTCTTTCTGTTCACCATCCTTGGTAAACTGACTCACTTCCTCATGCTGCTCACAAGAGGGCTACTATTGTCCTCAGCATCATGGCCATATTCAAAAATAGGATGGGTAGGGACAGCAGGGAAAGAAAAAAAAAATCCTTTCCTGGAGTAGCCTGAAGATCTCTCTAAGGGACTTCATTTAAGTCTAATTGGCCAGAAACAGAACATAAGGCAAATTTTAGTCACAAGGGAGGATAGAAAAGAAAAAGTGAAAATGTGGGTTTTATTAAAACAAGATGTGGGGGAGCGATAGGCAATAAAATGTCATATAACTTTGTGCTTCTGCTGGAATTCACTGGGATGAATGTTATTTTGATACAGTCATGCTATGAGAATGACTCAGAATTGGGAGTCAGAAGGCATGAAGTTACATGAATAAAATGAAAATGACAACTACGCTTTCCCTAACTCAAAGGGTTGATTTAGGCTCAACTGTCATCAACTGAAAAAGTGCTCTGACAACTAAAGTATGATCTATAAATATCTTAGTTAATACACTTTTATTTGTAAGTAAAAGAAACTTTAACTCCAGTTGACTTAAACAATGAATAATTGTTTGTCTTTCAATGCATTGGCTCTCCTAAGAACTTTAATAAGAGTCCTGTGGTAGGGTGGACTACAGGCACAGTTTGAACAGGGTGCCAGTTCCATCTCTCTACAAGTCTCTCAGCTCTGTCTTCTTCCATATCCTGGCCTTATCCTTTGGCAAAGGGTAAGCTATAGACCTCACATTGCACACCATGCCATTCACAGCAAGACAGAAAATCTATATCCCAGAATTTCTATTAGAATTATCCAGATGTACTTGGATTGGATTGGTTTATTGCACACAATTTTCTCTGAATTAATCACTGAAGAGAATAATCAGTTTGGCACAGGTTATGTATACCTTCCATAGAACACATCAACTGCTCAGGAATCTCAGGGATTCCCAGTGGAATCCAAGGACAATTGGAAAGAAGGAACACTGTCAGCAAGAATGCACCACGGTGGCTTTCATGGGTACCATTTTCATCACGAAGGCACACAAGAAGGCTGGGCTTGGAAAATATATTAAAAGGAACTAGAAGAGGCCAGTCACTACCCTTCTTCAGATTTCTCTGTCCTCAGGCCTGGCAGAGAAGTTGAGGACAAAAACCACGCAGGTGACCTCATTATATTCCAGAGGGCCCTGGCCATCTCTTTAGTTCAGTTGCAGCATTTTTATGGAAACTCTTTTCTGGGCTATACCAAATAGTTCTATCTCAGATTCCCTCTCAAATTTTTAATTTCCTGCTTTAGAAGCTGCAGTCTGTTTAGAGATCTTTCTCTAAGCACAAACATCCCATCTCGTTCCACTCAGTTAAGCACCTTTTGTGATGTTTAATGCACTTGTATCAAGGCAGAAAGGCAGCGTAAGCAGCCAGGGGAACATTGAGAATACTAACCGCAGAGTATTTGGGTCCCAGTGTGGACTGAAGGAAAGATTCGAGGGTTAGGTAATATAAACAAGCAAAAAAGTGCCAAGTGGGTTCAGGCAGGGGCACTCACCACAGAGAGCATGGTCCAGGTCAGAAAATGGTGACAGGAAAGAACAGCACTGTTTTGGGGAGAGAGGTGCCTTTGGGACTTGTAATGATCCTGATTATCAAAAGTAAAGACTTTTTAAAGGAGAATTTCACCACTGTCCAAAAACCCCAAATGACAGCAATTTAAGAGCTCCCCTCTGGAAACAAAAACACCAGAAGTCTCTTCACCAAACTCTGGATTTTTATGG